AGGAGGAAGAGGAGAGGAGGAGTGGGGGGAAGAGGAGGAAGAGGAGGAAGAGGAGAAGAGAGGAGAGGAGGAGAAAGAGGAAGAGGAGGAAGAGAAGACGAAGAGTGCAAGAGGAGGAAGAGGAGAAGAAGAGGATGAGGGGAGGAGGAGAAGAGGAGGAGGAGGAAAAGAGGAGGAAGAGGAGGAAGAGGAGAATGAGGGAAGGAGGAGGAGGAGAATGAGAAGGAAGAGATGAAGAGAGGAAGGGAGGAAGAGATGGAAGAGGGAGGAAGAGAGAGAGGAGAAGAGGAGGAAGAGATGTAAGAGAAGAGGAGGAAGAGATGGAAAAGGAGAGGAGGAAGAGATGGAAAAGGAGAGGAGGAAGAAGGAGGTGGAAGAGGAGAGAGAGTTAAGGATGGAAAATGATGATAATGATGATGATGATGATGATGAAAAAAACTGCAGTGCAAAGTGTGCAGAAAGAGTTGAAAGAGAAAGGTTATCTAGAGAGGAGGAGGAGACATAGAGGAGGAGAAGAGGAGGAAAAGAGGAGGAGAAGGAGAAGGAGGAGGAGGAGGAGAGAAGGAAGAGAAGAGAGGAGAGAGGAGAAGAATGAGGAGGAGGGAGGAGGAAGAGAATGAGGAGGAGGAGGAGGAAGAGAATGAGGAGAGGAGGAGGAAGAGAATGAGGAGAGGAGGAGGAGGAGAAAGAGAGGAAGATGACAAGAGGAGTAAGAGGAGAGGAAAATGACAAGAGGAGTAAGAGGAGAGGAAAATGACAAGAGGAGTAAGAGGAGAGGAAGAGGACAAGAGGAGTAAGAGGAGATGAGGAGGAATATGAGGGGAGAGGAGAGGAGGAGAAGGAGAGGAGGAGGAGAATGAGGGGGAGGAAGGGGAGGAGGAGGAAGAGGAGGAGGAGGAGGAGGAGGAAAGGATTAAAATGAGGGGAGGAGGAAGAGGAGGAGAAGGAGAAGGAGAGGAGGAGGGGGAGGGGGAGGGGAGGAAGATGAGAGAGGAGGAGGAAGAGAGAAGGAGGAGGAAGAGGAGATGAGGAGGAGGAGGAGAAGGAGGAGATGAGGAGGACAAGAGGTAGAGGAGAGGAGAAGGATGAGGAGAGGAGGAGAAGAAGACCAGGAGGAGGAGAAGAGGAGGAGGAAGAGAAGGAGGAGAAGGAATAGGAGAATGAGGAAACGAGGAGGAGGAGGAGAAGGAATAGGAGAATGAGGAAAAGAGGAGGAGGAGGAGAAGGAATAGGAGAATAGGAGGAGGAGGAGGAGAGAGGAATAGAGAATGAGGAAAAGAGGAGGAGAGAGAGAAGAGGAAGATGAGGGAGAGGAAGAGGAAGATGAGGGGAGGAGGAAGAAGAGAACGAGGGGAAGAGGAGGAGGAGGAGGAGAATGATAAGAGGAGGAGGAGGAGGAGGAGAAGAAGAGGAAGAGGAGGAGGGGGGGAGGAGAAGATAATGAGAGGAGGAGGAGAATGAGGAGAGAATGAGGAGGAGGAGGAAGAGAATGAGGAGGAGAGGAGGAAGAGAATGGAAGAGAGAAGAGGAGAGAGGAAGAGATGGAAGAGGAGAGGAGGAGAGGAAAGAAGAAGGAGGAGGAGGAGGGGGAGGAGGAAGATAATGAGAGGAGGAGGAGAATGAGGAGAGAATGAGGAGGAGGAGGAGGAAGAGGAAGAGGAGGAGGAGGAGGAAGAGAATGAGGAGGAGGAGGAGGAAGAGAGAATGAGGAGAGGAGGAGAGGAGGAGGAAGAGGAAGAGATGGAAGAGGAGAGGAAGAAGAAATGATGGAGTATGAATGACTGTCACCAATCAGGGAATTACTACTGCCATACTAATAGTCCATGTATTAATCTTATCCATCTCATTTATGCAAGGGATACCTAACCTCACTTACTAACTCCATTTGCACAATTTACTACTTAGAAAGAAAAGTTTTTTTTTCTATTACCTTTAATATCATTAATAATGTAATAATGGTAATGATGGTAATAAGCTTTAAGAAGAAGAAGAAAAACAACAACAACAATAACAACGATAACAAGAACAAGATGAAGAAGGAAAAGAAAGAAAAGTAATGTAATTAGGTGAGATCAGGTAGGCCTAGTACTTGACTCCCTGGTAACTTAGCACTTTTAAGGCCATTTATATTAAAACTGAATTTATTAAACAATACCATCAGATCTATTGATATCACCCTTATTCTTTGCTTATCATTACAATTAGGACCAACATGATTATACATCTGTGAGACTGATTCAAAAGAAACTGCCACATTTCACACATAAAGTGGCTAACAGCTGAGAAACAAACAGATAAAACAGATATATACATAAATGGTTGCCGTTGATTTTGGTACATCTTAATTTTCACACAGCCATGTAGTACAAGGTAAATTTTGCTAGTAATCGACAGAACAACAATATTTGATGACAATGAAAAAAAATCTAATGACGTTTGTAAGTGAAGAAAAAGCAATTCACCAATACATGATATAATATGTGCAGTCAAAGAATAATGCCATCAGTTACTAAGAAAATTGGTTGTGAAACAGCAATTGTGGGGATCTAGGGGGGATATGGCAATTACATGGAAGTCTAGGGGGGATATGGCAATTAGGTGGGGGTACATTGGATTAGGAAAGATGGTAATTGTTTAGAATAATTTTTCATGACCATTCATGATGACAGTAGTATCAAAGGATTCCTCTCCTTTTCTATAACCCATATATATAGGACATTCACCACGGAAACCACTAAAGATGGGCCACATTCCTGACCCCAGTAGCAGGAGAGGGAATGAAAAGTACCAGGGAAGTTACTGGGTAAAATATGAATATACACAAAATACAACACTACACCCATGCCCTGAAGGATTTACTAACTTGTTAGAAGGATAACAATGATCTGGCATACCCCACATGTTGACTACAACCCAGGTTAGTACACTATTGTGCTAGGTACATTTCTATAACCTAAACTGTTCACTACACAACAATTTCTGTCTTGATTTCCATCAGTGCAAAAAAAAAAAAAAAAAAAAAAAAAAAATCTGGCTTATTTCTGCTCAGAATTTTCTACCTGTTTACTGGGTTACCCAACCAGCATTTATGGAGGTTTGCGCTTTTTGCTTCTGCGCACAAAAGAGATCTTTGCCTTGTGCCATGTGCCTGTTTGCTTACCAGACTTCTTTTTGGCTTCACAATTTTAATAACACATTCTTCTGGAGCAACAACAGCAATTCATTCAAAATATGGGATTGTGTGGCAAGTCTGTGCATTCTGAATTCAAAATTGCTTTGCTAATGTTTGCAGCAATGACTTTGAGAAAAATCATTTTACCACACAATCTTTTAGCTTTAAAACCAAGGTTCTCTGTGTATTTTAAATCTTTACAGTCTGGCCTATACCTATGTGCTTTGCTATTGCTCCATCCTACTGTACATACCTGGGTTAGGCTATTCTTTGTAGTCTTGGGGTTGCAAGGGGCACAACTCCTTTACAAAAGATACATAGTTGTATAACATATGCAATCACAGTGCCTCTGGGTGCTGAATCTATCCTATGTTCTATCCTGCCGTACATGTGGTGGATTTTTTATTGTCCAGGGTGGGGAATGGGGGGGCAGTAGGCCCCCATTACAGAGCTTGTAGAAGGTCTGTGGCCCCTGTAGTTGATTCTGTACTAAACAATTTTTTTCACATTATTCATATTTACCTAACAATTTCCCTGGTACCTTTCATGCTCTCCAAGCCAAGAGTATGGGTTCTTGTGAGGTGTGTATATATATATATATATATATATATATATATATATATATATATATATATATATATATATATATATATATGTATGCATAGCATAATTTCTATATGTATGGGTAGCAGGGAGTAAGAGAAATTCATTGATACCACTATTGTCATGATTAGTCATGCAAAGGTATTCTGAATATGGTAACATCTGAGGGTTCGCAAGGGTGCGCCCAAGGGTGCCCCAATGGAAAATATGCTGTTTTTCGTGGCCGCAACAACAATATATGGGCTGTAACCTGCAAGCAAAGGGCATTTATGGTGCAAACACCAATAATTTTTTACTTTTAATAATGATGTTCTACAGTGACAATTATTAAGTGATTATTCAAGTTTGTTTTTAAATATGGATGTACTTTGTTCTGTATTGCTAGTTACGTTGGAATTCAAACATCTGCGAGAAAGAAAATTGAGTGCAAGCAAATATGATCATAGCTGTGACTCAAGATCGACATCACTGAGCATCTCCGTGGTTTCAACCAGGCAAGGATGTTAGCAGGAGTAACATGGCTTTAATTGTATATAAACAATTATATACTTTCATTTATTCCCTGAACCTGTCATTTGGGAGGGAAAACAAAAATTGATTCACATTCATATTACTGTATTACATCATGAATAACTGAAACAGAAAATAATTGCAAGGTTGGATGGCTGTGTGAAACAAAGAAATCATCATCATAATAAAAATAAAACAAGATTTTTCCCCATGAGTAAATAGGTAGACAAAGAAACTAAAAGGGCAGACTTTCTCTCTTTGACAAGTGCATAGATGTCTTGGAAAATGATCTGATCACAAATGACCAGAAACCAATTCCCTATTCTTACTATTAGCACTCGTTACTGTCTTTATCGCTAGCAGAGACGTATCAATAGCTTTTGCCTGAATCAAACCTCCACTCTCCATTCGTAGGCACACACGCAAAAATTCACAACTGAAAAGATAACTGTGATCGCTTCGCCGTGCCTCGGCGGGACATGAATTCTGTAAAAGCAACTCCGCCCATTGCAACATTTTCTTTCAGCGATTCTCGTTTCATTTCCAAACCAAATTCACGATCTGCTGAACAAAGTACAAAATTGGATGACAACCTAGTTCTCTGTAGCTATAATTTAATGTGACGAAAGAAATTTCCATGTAATAACTTCACTGCCACTTATCAAAACAATGGGACTCTTCACTTAATTATTACAAAAGGTTGTCTTTCCCTTACCTGCTGAGCAACGGGCTCGAGGATACCCTCAATTGTCTTTGTATGGAATACTGGCATTATTGCAGTGTCGTGTTTGCAACACCTGCCGAGAAATAAGCATGGACTTTCTCCACGAGTAGTGTGTACGTCCCCGTTCACCGGCCTTCAACACACGACTGCCGTGCCAGGCGAGCTGGGG